ATTGAGTCAACTCCAAAGTTGACAGCAAGTATTATTGTAATGCCGAGTGGCACATAGAACCAAGCACGGACAAGCTTGGAGCTATTCTTGTGAGCAGCCTGCACCGTGTTAGCCAAGAGTCCTTGTCCTTCTGCTCAGGGATGGACTCACCAATCTGATGGCCTGCATCAATTGCAAGAAGCCACTGGTATCTGCAGCCATTTCGCTCTCTGTATTCCGATAAAGATCACGATATTGTATCGAGGGAGCGATTGAAGTTAGTTGACTAAGGACTGAATGCTGGAGGACCCTGGTCATGTGCGTTAGCCCGGGCGATCCATCCATTCCATGTATGAGCTAAGGCAAGGTAGGTAGCTAAAGATAAGACAACATCAACTGTTTCCGTCAAAAGAGATTTATAGAGGCAGAATGAATTCTCCTTTTATTTACTGCCTTGTCTCGTATGCATCAGCCCGATTAGCCGAGAAGTCATGATAAAATGCAAGTGACGGACTTCAACTCCCGTGTCATGGGGCGCACGAAAAGGAACTGACGATGCACCTCCTCGGGAGATAAAGCACCGAGAAGCAGGAACGGCTTTCGATTTGAGGCTCTAGAAGCCAAAGATTGCGGCTCCTCACTTTTTAGCTGCGGATGTGATACTGGATCCCTACATGTCCCTGATATCACGATATACCGACCGACCTTGTTCATCACCCCATTATCCCATCATATCTCCCCTCGCTGGCCTTTTGTGAATTATGTGATGTGATGCCCAAGTCGGTCCGACGTTATCAGAGATGGATTCCTCTCTGCCTGAAGGGATAATTCAGCCAACAAAGGAAGATACAAGCATCGCGTGTGGCCATCTTAAACCTGGATTCGGAGCGAGCCGAGCACGGAATCACAATCACGCGTCAAGGCATGGAACTACCATGAAAATGCTGCAGCGAAAGGTCGAATGCGGATCCGAAGATATAGACGTTGCATTGCACGGGCCGTCGTTCAATTTTGTGAGCCAGGAACAGGCGATGCATTCTTGTCCGGAACTGGGATGCCGAGACGACCATCCATGGGTAGGTAATGAATGATTCACTGCTGTCTGGTGCGACGCTTCATTAACACAATATAATACAGCGTTCTGCGCCAGGCTCAACAAGTTCTCGAAATAGTCCTCACCAACACAGTCCACTCTCCCAACCAGCAACACCAACAGGTCTACTGCACCGTCTTGAGAATCGATTTCGACGAGCTCAACCTTGGGAATCTCCGTTTGGATCGAGTCGATCAATATCATCAACTTCGTTGGTTGGATCAGCAGACGGTTCGATATATCAAGCCGGCAAGGAACGGAGACGAAGGGCACGCGACTCTGAAGTCAATCATGGTAACTCATCAGCCGAAGATTCGGTGCCGGTCATCTCGGCTCCGGTGGCGGAGGGGGAAGAAGGGACTCGCCAGTTGGCAACAGCGGGGATAGCCTTGGGAACATTAGACCTCGACCGGTTGAGTTTCATGGCGAGAAACGACGAGACCAGAGGAAAGACTGAAGAGGCATAATGTCAATGTAAGGGGAGATTTCCTATCCGAGTCAGCTGGTCTGCAACTCTTGTCGATCATTGGAAGTGAGCATGGATTATTGAATCATTGGGTACGTATGTACGGAGTAGTGGGCTTTAGCTGTGCTTGACTGCATCGGTATTCAATCAAAAGACACCGATTCATTCATCGGCAAGATCATCTTGGACCCGAAACAACCCAAATTGGGATAATGATTCTCATGTTTCAAGTATCACCTACTCCAATTGGTTGTAGTTTTCGCTGTCTGCCTCGGTTCCGGGGTCCAAAAGCTGGGGTTTTAGTGACAATCACGGCTCCGGCTCGCATCGGATGACTTCATCTAGTGGGCTTCAATTGCCGGCGCCCTTTTGCCTGTCAACTCAAGCCTGCGATGCTGTATCTTTAACTACTCAGCTTCGCCTCGAGATCTTGATCTGATCCATAACACATCTCTCCATCCAAATCGCCTTCCTCACCATGTTTCGCCCTATCCTCAGACAATGCGCTCGAAGAGCTGCTATTCCTCTGCGACCATGCGCCACAAGGACCTTTGCCTCGGCATCTGGACCTACCTTCAACTGGGAGGATCCTTTGGCTTCGAATAACCTCCTGACCGAAGAGGAGCGTGCAATTGGAGAGACTGCAGAGAGATACTGCCAAGAGCAATTGCTACCCCGCGTTCTACGTAACTTGTCTCAAACTCGATATTTAGAAACTCCACACTGACTTTCATATCTTACAGAGGCCTATCGCGACGAGTCCTACGATCCCAAGATTCTCGAGGAGATGGGCGAGCTTGGTCTATTGGGCGCTACAATCGAGGGATATGATTGTGCTGGCGTGTCCTCTGTTGCTGGTGGTTTGATCACACGAGCTGTGGAGAGGGTGGATAGCGGCTACCGATCTGGAATGTCCGTTCAGTCTTCATTGGTGATGGGTGGTATCTTTGAGCACGGCACTGCTGAGCAGAAGGAGAAGTTTCTCCCACAGATGGCCAAGGGCAAGCTCCTCGGTGCCTTTGGCTTGACAGAACCCAACCACGGCAGTGATCCTGGAAGCATGGAGACAGTGGCAAGGCCTCATCCTACCAAGAATGGGTACTATTCTCTAAGTGGCTCAAAGACATGGATCACAAATAGCCCTATCGCCGATGTCTTATTGGTATGGGCAAAGTTGCAAGACACAGGCAAGATTCGAGGGTTCTTGGTGGAGCGCAAGGACTGCCCACCAGGTACTCTCGAGACACCAGCTCTCAAGGACAAGAACGGTCTTCGAGCCTCGATCACTGGCATGATCCACCTCGACAACTGTCCTGTACCAGATGTCAACATGTTCCCCGACGTTGAAGGCCTACGAGGCCCCTTCAGCTGTCTGAACAACGCTCGATACGGTATCGCACTGGGCGTCATGGGTGCTCTTGAGGACTGCATCGCCCGTGCCCGAACATACGCCCTTGAGCGCAAGCAATTCAAAGGCAACCCCCTAGCCAAGTACCAACTCGTTCAGAAGAAGCTCGCCGACGCGACAACAGATGCCGCCTACGGCACACTCGCCGCCATCCAGGTTGGCCGTCTCAAGGACGAGGGTAAGGCCACGCCCGAGATGATCAGCATGGTGAAGCGACAGAACTGCGATACAGCTCTCAAAAACGCACGAGTCCTCCAGGAGATCTTTGGAGGCAACGCTGCGAGTGATGAGTACATGATTGGCCGACATGTGGCGAATCTCTATGTGACACAGACTTATGAGGGCCAGAGTGATATTCACAGTGAGTTTTACCTGCAAGACAGGACTGATTATTGCTAACAGATATTACAGGTCTTATTCTGGGACGTGCTATTACTGGTATCCAGGCATTCGTATAAACGAGGAGTGATTGGTCAGGAGGTGATATAAAAGAACCATTGAGGTGCATACCCGTGTTATAGATGCTTGGAAATCAGACATGCAGTTTCCAGTGCCAGGCATTAGCCAATCGTTTGATCTGGTTTAGATGGCCTTAAAACAGTACAGTACAGTAGCATGATATTGACGAATAACAAAATACATTCTCCAGAATAGTATTTGCTAGGTGCCACTCAACCTGGACTGTATCAAATGAACCCTCACTAGGGGAGGAAAGAAAGCATAACTAGGACCTCGACCCTAAATGACACAAAGATTTAGGTGATATAGCCTAAGCATAGGATAACTTTTACTGAGTTTATTTTGGCACCCCATATCATGGTCTGTTGCTTTCTTGCTCCCCCGAGGCCTCTAAGGACTGCCATTAAATTGGCCAGTGCGCAGTGGTTACAACTGTGTATGACTGTAAGTGATGCCGTCAAGTTCCGCGTCCGCTTCCGGTCCCGGGGCCGGGCTCGGCAGCGTTAATTCAGGTACTGTATGCATCTGGATTCCTGCCGTCATTCCCGTGGCAATCATGTAGAGGGAGGCTAGCTCAGGTTTGGATATCATCAATACACGAATCATGAGTCAACGAGTGGTCAAAGACTGTGAGGAAGCATCTGGAAGTCAGGTAAAGGCAAAAAATTCGATAGGTACATCAGTACTCAAACTCTCCCCTGCTGGCCTCGACCGCCACCCGAGTATTATTACTCAACACTGCCAAATCTTGCCCTGAACCTGAGGTTGACTGCCTGAATCTGAAGGTAGTACAACTCCGTGAATGCTATATAATCTTATTGTCATGAGTAAATAAGCATCGAAACCCGGCGAAGAACAGTTAGTGACTAAGGTACCTACCTTAAGGTTCGGAGAAGCCAAGCCCACTATGGGTGCCCTCCACTGTATCAGGGCCCAACGTAAAAATCTGTAGCCAGCTGTTAGTGCTCGGGTACCGCTAAACACTGATTCGCCCTCAGCAGTGGCGGTGTCCCCCCTTCTGGAGCGAGCGCCCAGCGGTGGCCCAGTCACAGGCGATGGAGGGCCTAAAAAACCTGACTTTTCGGGCTGCCACTCCCGTCTCGTCTGGACGGGAGGTGCCAGCGCAGCCACTGCACTGTCCAGCCAGTCCAGTCTACCTAGGTACCTCACCCGCCCCGGGCACGCACGCATTCACTCACTCCATTCCCTCCCTCCTGCTCCGCTTCTGGGTCTCTCTCTTGGTTGACCCTCCTTCCCCTTCTTCCCTACCCCCATTTGAACGAACCATCTTCCTCCAAATCCCGCCTCTCTCTTCTACTTTCTTCAGCCTCGACTGAATTTCTTTTACGCTTACATACTCCGACTACCCAAATAACTTTCTACCACAAACATCCCTCATAAAACAGTCTTTGTGCACTGTTTTCTGATCCCCGACGGTCTTTCCCATCGATCGTTATTGTGCGTCCTTTCCTTCGAATCCTTCTTCCTTCCCGACCGCTCGTCCTGCAACCCTTCAACTAACATCTTTTTCCAACCCAGAACGACGGCGATACCTCGCAACAAACCCTTTAGATACCCCCTCTACACATCACAAAATGGCCCTTAAGCGCATTAACAAGGAGCTCACTGATCTCGGCCGGTAAGTTCACTCTCTTCACTGGTCTGAGGGGTCAAACAGAATGCCCAAAGACGTCAGGTGGGGGCACTTGGTAAGCGGGGTCCTCAGTGACGACCGACGATGCCAAAGCCCTCGATGACTTCAAACCCTCATGACCGTCTCCTCTCGATGAACTTGTGCTGACTTTCCTCGTGCAGAGATCCACCCTCTTCTTGCTCTGCCGGCCCTGTCGGCGAGGATTTGGTAGGCATCACCCCTCCCCCACATTGATAAGCACGTGGCTGTCAAAGGCGTCATGACTGCCGCAGGCCTCTCCCCAGGATGAACAAGATATCATTTTTGAGTGTCCGGCTAACGAATCTGCTTAGTTTCACTGGCAAGCTACGATTATGGGACCTGTAAGTTGACCTCTGCTGTGCTTCTGGATGCGCTGCCTGCTCAGATGGCTTATGGGCGTGGCGAAGCCCTCAGCCGCACGCCGGTGCAGCCGCATCTGCATTTAACAAACTATCACAAGAACAAAGTGGCTGACCAGACCTCACAGAGTGACTCTCCATACTCCGGCGGTGTCTTCTTCCTGGCCATTCACTTCCCTACCGACTACCCTTTCAAGCCTCCCAAAGTCAACTTCACTACCCGCATCTACCACCCCAACATCAACTCCAATGGTAGCATCTGCTTGGATATTCTGCGTGACCAGTGGAGCCCCGCGTTGACCATCTCTAAAGGTATGTTCGATGTGAGAACCCTTGTGGCCTAGGCCTATTGCTTACGTATATACCAGTCCTTCTGTCCATCTGCTCGATGCTGACAGACCCCAACCCTGACGATCCTCTTGTGCCCGAGATTGCCCATGTCTACAAGACTGACCGACCCAGATACGAGGCCACAGCTCGGGAGTGGACTCGAAAGTATGCAATCTAAAGCGAATACCAGGGCCGGTGCGGTTAGACTTGGGGTGGTTTCATCTCCCCTATCATGAAGCGACGTGAAACGAACGAGTGAAAGCTTCGTATGCTGTTGCGAAATGTCTATTAGTCGGCGATACCTATATGGGTGCTTTGCCTGAACTGGGGCTTTGATTGCGATTATGAGGCAGTGAGCGACGATGCGAGGCGACTTGAGGGGAGGAACAACTCCAGACAAACAGACTAGTCTAGTAAGGGATATCATGCGGCTGGATGTTGGGTTTGCATTGACGATGTGTTTGTGGCATCCAGAAACAAGCAGCGTATACAATTTGTCTCTCTATCTGCTATAGCTCCGGTGCCTTTATCGTGTTGATGCTGATTCTTGGTGACATTGTGAAGTTTGATTTGAAGAGCCGAAAGCAATGGCCCAATGGGTGTTTAAGAAGCGTCAGCATATGACATTCGCACATGTGAAGGATACGTCATGGTGAAAGCTGGCGGCTATGCTGAGATGAGTGTACATAAATGTGATTAGGCGCCGACAGGGTTGAGGCTGGTTGACACGACTGGTTATATGACGGGCGCTAGTGGCCAGGAACTTGGGATCATCCAGCATAGGTAGGTCGGGATGGAGATCAGAAGGGAGATTTACAGTTGGTCTACGGAGTAGAGTGTTTCTATAGGCGATGTGAAGAAATCTAAGGGAAGTCGTGCAGGAAATGCCAAACCGAAGTCGAATGAGATTGGTTCGCCGGATAGTTGCAGTTTGTATGTATGAGAAATACGGAGTATGAGCTGTCCACATAGACCATGGCGATGACGAATGTGTTTGGAAATGGTACATGTCTTGGAAGAGAAGTGAAACGCGGCAGAGACAAAGCTGGAACGGAACGATGTGGTATAGGGCAGAGATGTAATGGATTCCATTGTTTCTGAGATACGAGTGGGGGTTGTTTAAGAGCGGTTCTTGGCCTAGGTGCCTATGGAGCAGTGTTTGGATCGAGTATGGAGGAAAGCTCGAGAGTTGCTCTGTTATAGCTAGGTATGCGCTGATATATGCTCTATTGTATGTCCTATGTATTACAGGAGAAGGGAGAGATATAATGCCAAGTCGTGATATCCAAACAATTACTCCGTAATTGCTTGTGCATTCAAGGGTCGTTGTGTAGGAGATAATGATAAACTTGCAGGATAACGATAGGACAGCCAAGCACCATTCAGCAACTCATATGGAAAGATATATTCATCGATATCATTTCGATAGCCTCAATCGTCAGTTGAACAATGAAGCTGTTGCTCTGTATCGTGGGAATAATTAGGTGAGTTGTCTCAATGGTCGTGCCATTCATGGGCCGAGAATTAGAGTCTCTTGCCCCACTCTCGGTGCGACATGCCAGGGCGGGCCAAGTCTTGTCAAACCTGTAACACCGGGGTTTCAGACGAGAACAAGCGTTGGCGATGGCTAATCACAGACTACCATTGCTGGGTTCGCAGTGAACGACTCGTGCTGGCTTCTGCTAGAGATGCAGACGCAGAGTTAGTTACCTTAGTTAGTTATTGAATAGTATTTCACTTCTAGAGGCTCTCAAAAGTTCCAATAACTACTAACTAAGTGAAAACTCAAAGAATACCTAACCAACAACTCAGATAGAGTCAGTTGTATGTAAAAATTCATGACTGCAGCCCCTGAGGTGAGGCAGAGGCAGAGTCTGTTCGGTTGAACCATGCCTGATACATAACAACTCCTTAAATGGCGTGTTCTCCAAACCCACGTCTCGCTCTCCCACATCTCGACTCCAGTCTGTCTGTATGTATCTACAGTCTGAGCCTCTCGCTAGATTCTTTAGGTGCATGCCAAGCGCTAACCCCGGACACTCGCCGTCTGTGCCTGGTATCAAGTCCGGTTGCCAAACTCCGTTTTTATTTCTCTAACTACGAGAGAGACCACGCAAGTAAAATCATCTCATCCATGTTTTAGGACCCCTTGAGTTTCGACGGCTCGAGTTTCTTTTCTGGTTCTTTAGACCCTTGCCCTGCCTTTTCCTCCCCTCTTCTCTCCCTTATTCACTCTCTTGTTTTTTATCCTGTCGACAAAGTCATGGTTCGATGAGAAGTTGTGTTTCTTTTAATCTTGAGGCTCTAGACAGCATTTATTCTTCTTCTTGTTTATATTATACTATCTGAACTGTTTCATTGGCTACGGAAATTCAACTGTTCAGCTGGTTCTGAATAATCGACATTGTCGTTCAAGGTGGTTATTGTGATTGACTGGGTTTCGAGGACCGAGGAGCGACAATACGACGAGCACCCATCGAAGGAAAAATCGGACAATTTTTTAGTCGGTTGACTCAATCGACTCGACTCGACTCGACTCGCCCTCGCACTCGCTCAAGATGAGCTATCAAATGCAAGATTGGGGAGAGAAACCCTCAGAGCGATCACGATGGACTCCCCTAACGCGAATGCTGCTGTCGGGTGAGATGACCCAAGAGAAGCAACAGGAACTATCGTCAAGAGAGAAGTTTGATCGCTGGATGATCAACGAGGGTTATCGAAGATTGTAAGTTCACTGGCACGTATGTTATAGTGAGTGATTCAGACTAACAAACTGCAGCTTCGTCTTCGTCTTTATGCTTCTTCACGCACTCATCTTCTCCTTCGCATGCGTCCACTACTCTCAAAAGGATAGTCTCAAAACCTCCAATGAACTCTTCGGCTTCACCTTCGTCATAGCTCGTTCAGCTGCTCTGGTTCTTCATGTCGACGTCGCCGTCATTCTCTTCCCCGTCTCTAGAACCCTCATCTCGCTCCTTCGACAGACACCTCTCAATGGAATCCTCCAGTTCGACAAGAACATCACCTTCCACATCGTCACCGCCTGGTCCATCGTTTTCTGGTCTTGGGTCCATACCATTGCTCATTGGAATAATTTTGCGCAGGTCGCCATCAAGTACAAGCTTGGTGTCTACGGCTGGTTGGTTGCCAATTTCGTGTCTGGACCTGGTTGGACTGGCTATGTTATGCTTATTGCGCTGATGGGCATGGTTCTCACATCGACCGAGAAGCCTCGACGAGCAAACTTTGAGCGCTTCTGGTATACTCACCACATGTTCATCGTTTTCTTCTTCTTCTGGTCAATCCACGGAGCTTTCTGCATGATTCAACCAGATGTTGCGCCGTTCTGCACCAGCGTTGGCGCATCGGCCGTTGGAGTCTTCTGGCAATACTGGATGTACAGCGGTTTCATTTACCTGGCCGAGCGTATCGCACGCGAGGTGCGAGGTCGTCACAGGACATACATCACAAAGGTCATTCAACATCCCAGCAATGTTTGCGAGATCCAGATGAAGAAGGAGCACACAAAGACGCGAGCTGGGCAGTACATATTTTTGTGCTGCCCTGCCGTCTCGCTATGGCAGTACCATCCTTTCACTTTGACCAGTGCCCCCGAAGAGGACTACATCTCGGTCCACATTCGTTGCGTAGGTGACTTCACCAAAGAGCTTTCCAAGGCTTTGGGTTGTGATTGGAGCAAGAAGAGGGAACCCGGTGGCAACGATTCCAGCAAAGTCGTTGGTCTGACTGGACGCGACTCCGAGATCGATCCAGCTATCCGCCGTGTTCTCCCCAGAGTCTACGTCGACGGTCCCTTTGGTTCTGCCTCCGAAGATGTCTTCAAGTATGAAGTCTCGGTGCTTGTTGGTGCAGGTATCGGTGTTACACCGTTCGCCTCCATCCTCAAGTCCATTTGGTACCGAATGAACTACCCCCAGAAGAAGACCCGCCTAGCCAAGGTCTACTTCTTCTGGATTTGCCGTGACTTTGACTCCTTCGAGTGGTTCCGCTCACTGCTTCTAGCAGTCGAGGCGCAGGATCTGGACCACCGTATCGAGATTCACACGTACCTCACAGCCAAGATCAAGGCCGACGACGCGACAAACATCATGATCAACGATGCCAACGCCGACAAGGATACCATCACTGGTCTGCGCAGCCCGACAAACTTTGGCAGACCCAACTGGGATATGATCTTTAGAGGTATCAGAAAGTTGCACAGTCCTGCCGAGGCGGGTGTGTTCTTCTGTGGACCCAAGGGATTGGGAAGTTCGCTGCACACGTATTGTAACAAGTATACCGAACCTGGGTAAGTTTCTAATGCTATTGTTGATTTGTGAGAACAGAACGTCAGCTAACTGGATGCAGATTCTCTTTTGTTTGGGGCAAGGAGAACTTCTAAACGTTGTCTCTACCAATTTCATTCTGGTCTAGGCAAGCGGATAGTCAAGTTTGTAATAGTGAAAGGAACACGAAGCATGGGGTAGATAGATTTACTGCAAGACCATCCATACCTGGTCTATGTTCTCGTTGAGTTATCATTTTAATACCGTAGAAACAGGTGTTGCATCTCACCAAACCAATACAACCATTTTTATTATTATTAATTTTTTTTTTACATTACATGACCAGCCACACCTTTCCTGTTCACTATTGATTAAGGACTGTCTGTCATGGGTACAGCAAGTGTAAAGCTTGTGATTGAATCGAGGCGCAGCTGAAGAACTGACCACTTGGAGTGCTGACGTTGGACTCTCCATTCCATCCATGCCACATCTGACCCAGATCTCTCGTCTGAAACGTTTCACAAGCCTGGAAAGTATCCTATAGCCACAGCTTACTGTTTTGAATATGGAACCCTAAAGGCGATTCTTCCTAAGAGTTGCGGGTATAACGGCAGATGACAGTGATGCTCCCGCTCGATCTTGATCATCTCAGGCAATGTCTGATTCACCGAACATTTGAAAGCGTCAGCAATCAGAGAGGCAAAGACAACATGCCATGACCAAGAATTCCATGCAGGGTCTAGACGTGGGATGCAGTGTCAAAAGGCACATTTTTAGATAACAACTGATATGTGTATGTCTCACCACTCAGCAACGTGTTCGAATACCAAGACCGGCATTAGTGGCTGGACATAGGATAGGATAGGATAGGGAGGCACCGATATAGAGACGGGAAAGGCTTTTAAGATGCATGGTTGGTAGTATCTCACTATGAATGTAGTATCGTATACATGTGTCCATCTGCATTTGTGCTGACGGTCAGGCCGATGCAACCATCCATGGAATTGAGTCTGGGTGAGAGTTTAGTTGATAAAGACCCTGAAGATCTGGTGCTGAAAGTCTAATTAACAGTGATCGTATCGTGTCAATATCGGGTACGGGAAGTTAATCAAGAAGAGGCCTCGCTAAGACTCGAAGCCCTTGTCAATTCTATCTCAGCTCAACGACGGATTCCACGGTTGACCCAACGGAAATCGAAACAAATTGGATGGCAGAAGGGTTCCATTTTTGGGTCAGACCCTGAGGTGCTCGAGTCGCTGAGCCTCGTTCATTGGGCCCAGACCCGTCATTTCTTCAGTGGAGGCCCCGCCCCGCCGCGACCCGCCGCTACCTAGCACAGTGGAGGTCACTTCAATCAGAAGTCCACTGGAACCTCGCTAGCCTGGGCTGTCAAAATACATACGAACTGGGACTTTGTTCCTCATGACCACTCGGGAGATTGATGTCATTCAAAATGTCAGGGCGATCGAGTACCGTGTAATTAGACTTATCGACTAGCCAGAATAATTATTCAATGTGTGCTCTCAGCTTGACAGTACTGTACATCTCTCCCTACCTACCTTTTAGCTTATCTATACTGTTGGGAAGCCGAGGTAGCATTAAACTGATCCAATCAATGCACACTCAGCGACACTCAGCAACACACAAGCATACCTACATAAACGGTTCAACGCCTCTTTCTTAGCATCTCGCGCCACTTCCCTGTTGGATAGTAGCTGTCGATAGTCTGCAGCAACTAAAACCAAAAAAAAGTCTCAATCGTGGAAAAAATCCCCCTCTATCAAATCCTCTTCTTCAGTCTTGGTGCTTGGTTATTCGAAACTACAGGTGCTTATCATTTCTGGGCATCTGTCACGTTTTTGCCTCGTCTGTAAAGATCAGCAGGAGATGCATTGACGACAGGTCCACGTTACTTACGCATCATGTATACCTCGTAAATAGAACACTAACAATCTCAAAGGAGTTGGGGTACAGCGCCATGACAAACGAGCTAGACCGCAAGGGGTGCCTCGCCAGGGGCTATAATACCCATTTTGTCTGCTGTACAAATTGCGAGGTCAATCCCAGCCTGCCACGAACGTATTGCACGGTCGAGCTTCTAAATGAGGCTGTAGAATGGCATTTTCACTGTTGACATCATCTCTCTCGTCTGGACGTCTAATATTGTATAATTGCTTATCATCGGTAGACCGTTGACCGTTTCACTGGAACAACCCAAACATTATCATTCGTCAACTGAAATCGTAGCTCCCCCCAATCAGCAATCATCAATGCATGGAGTTCGCTGTCAAAAGTGCAAGGATTCAGTACTTCGCCACTAAGTACCCTCTACATTTTCGAGCCCGTTTCCCGTACACGCACGCAACTCGCTCGCTGCAGCAAGCAAATTTTTAGTGTTGCCGGCGTCGCGCAAATCCGCTCTTCCCGCGCCATTCATTCCCAGTCCCCTTCATCACGAGCCTGGGTCCCCCGTCTCTCGTTTTGGTCATTCACTCACTTACGGATACCTTAGTCTAGTATTTGCACCAGCAACTGGCACGCACTGCTACTACTACGCCTCTTCTTTCATCCTTCGTTTTCCTTCTCGTCTCACCCAAACTAACACAATACGAGTCGAGTAGTTATTCACTAGAATACTGCTTGGTCCTGCTCCTACTGTTTTCTAACACTCGTTACTACTTCCCTTTTTCTTCTTCCTCAATTCTTTTTCCTTTTTTTGTCCCTTGCTTTACTTTACGCGCCTTGGCTGTTTGCTGCCACGCGTGCCTTTCGTACTCCTTATCCACATCGCACAAGCCGAGACAATCCAGCGACAATTTGCTCGACTTGACCACCGCTTGCGCCCTCTCCCCTATCAGACACGAGACACTAGAGACCTCTTCCTTACTTGAGACGGTCGCTGCTTTTCCTCATTGGATTTGTCGTTCCTTGTGCCGAACCCTCCCGGGTACTCCTTCGACCCCTTACCCGCCGTCAACCATCACCTCATATCGACGACTTGATTGAATTGACGACAACGCCGACCGTTCAAGATGCAGCTTCGACGATTTTTGCTCCTAGGTATGCTCCTCGGAGCCGAGGCCACTCAACTCGTTGCCCGTCAAAATTCCAACTCCGACTCTGCCGCCGCTGCCTCAAGCAATTCCTCTCCCGCCAGCACTGCTGCAGCCGATACCACGAGCAACAACTCTGCTGCCACTACTGCAGCAGAAGCTACTACCGCCGCCCAACCTACCGACGATTCTAGTACCGCTGATAGATCTACTACCGATGGATCTTCTGACGGAGGCTCAACTACAGCTGAGGATGTTATCGTTACCAAGACGGTGACGGTCACTGATGCCGATGCCAAGACCGTGAGCCGTCAGACTACTGTCATGAAGACTATCACATCCACTGTCGTCGTTACGTCGACTGCGTTCGATACCACGACTGTTACTAGCAGTGACGCTGCGACCGCAACGACTACGACCTACGTTACCTCCACACAGTGGGCTAACGAGAAGCGTGCCATCGATTTGGCCCCTCGAACCATTGGCGGTGTTGAACTCGTTGCCCCTGCTTTGCCTACCTATACTACTACCACCAGTGCTCCTCCTCACTTCGATGTGCAAATCGATGGTGAACACTACGGTCTCCGAGCCTTCCGACGAGGTCTTCACAAGCGTGCTACTTCCACTACTACCATTACCGTGACGGAGGGTGGCGGCGACTCCGATACCACTGTCTTCAACACTATTTCTCGAACCGTCATTTCCACCGTCAGCAGCCAGACTAAGGTTACCAAGACCATTACCGAGACCGAGCAGGCAGGTGCTAGTACCACTGTCACTGTCACCAGCACCCTTGTTGTCACATCTACTAGAGTGACCACTGGTGTTGTTCGCACAGCGACTGTTGCTCCTTCTGGAGAGTATGGTCCTTCTGGTACTGGCGGTTCCAGCTCTGATAACAACAGCAGCAGCAGCAGCAGCAGCAACGACGGCGGCCTCTCTACAGGTGCCAAGGCTGGAATTGGTGCTGGTGTTGGTGTTGCTGGCCTTGCCGTCATTGCTGGTCTCGCCTGGTTCTGTCTTCGCAAGCGCCGCAATGCTAAGAACAAGGCCGAGTACGACGATGTCTTTGGCGCCTCCGAGGTTCCTGTTGGTGGCCGTGGTGGCGCTGCTGCTGCCGCCGGTACCAGCCCCCACATGTCCCAATCAACCGCCGCCGCCTCTACTCTGGCTCCCAGCCGCAACACCACCAAGTCCGAGGGCTACCGTGGTACTGCTCTTGGCGACGGACGTGCCGGTTTCGCCAAGCCCCAGCAGTTCGGCCGCAGCTACATGCCCGTTAGCCCCGAAACCAACTACTCCCGTACTGCTGGTAGCGACCAGGCCTATTCAGCTACCACTCCCGAGAACAACTACGCACACCCCGCGGGCGGCTCTCCCAACCACAACGCTGCTGAGATGTACAGCCCTGCCAATACAGCTGAGCTAGCCAGTGACAGTGCTGCCACCAAGTGGCATCAAAATGATGCTGCTGAGATCGATGGCAACCAGGTTTCAAGCGCTCGTGGAACAGCACCCCCTGAGAACGTTTACGAGATGCCCGCGCAACCCTACAGGTAAACGATGAGGCTGCCAGCCTGCCAGTATAGTGGTCACTGGTACTGGAATGGATGGATGAGAAAAACTTGAAGATTCGATGAGACTCCCCCTTGTAGCTAGAGGGAGGGGAAATAATTAATGTCAGATACTGTACATATTGTAAACCCTTATTTTTTTCCTTGCGTATGACGAGATCACACATTGGTACAGCGAACAAGAGCGGGAGATGATGGCTCCCATTGCATGACTTGTATATCTTCCATTGCTACCATTTTGGGTTCAACAGAGTTGTGGATGATTTGAGGTGTTGAGGTGGATTAGATACGTGGATGCAATAAAAAAGAGCTATTAAAATCTGACAGTCTGAAGATCTATGTTGACTAGGTACCTATCTTTGATCATCCATATGTCGAAATCAGCCACTCTCTGTGTAGTTGAGACAAGACACTAGTTATTAATTTTGGCTTCTATTGCTTGTTGTTTGTTTAAGGTCCTACGTCGTAACGTATTCGGTATCGCTCTTAACGTGATATTATTCCCGCTGGTTAATTTAAGCTTCGAGAAACTCAACTCTAATGGATTTATCCGCTCGATAGATCGACTCAGTAGGCAGATTATGTCCGTTATCGGTGACGCCACTTGATGTCGTGCATCTAGAATAAGACATGTGCAAGAAAGACAAATACTTCAACCAAACAACGAGATTATAATGAGGAATTCGACTATCAAGCTTGATTTTACAGGCCTCATTATTATTGACTTTTCTCTAACCTCTTTTCTCTCTCTAATCATCACGACCTCATACAGCCTCCCTAAGTTCAAGAACAAAAAGGTCGAACCCACTCTTCCTGTTAATTACTAAGGTATCGAAACACCCAAAGTCACATCCTAACTACCTATCCTTTATTCTATAATATTACTACATTGCGAGGGAATTAAGAAGCGACTACTCGGTTCAATACACTCTTGCACAACCGGAGAAGTTTCGGATGACCTGACCTGATCTGAAAGCGGAGCTATTACGAAAAAAAAAATCCGAATAGTGTCGTACTATATTCTTGTTCTGGTCCTTCTCCCTTTTCTATTTCTTCCGTTGTCTCTCTTTTTTTTTCTTTTTCTTTCTTTCTGTCTAAGTATCTTTTGCTTTGTCCTCCACTTTACAAGTTCTCATGCGCCAAGAATTGCCAAGCATACGCCTAATCTTTTAAAAGATTGTCGCGAGTGGGAGGTCTTGTCCCCCATTCTCGCTATCATCTGAGGATATCTGCTTCCTTCGCGTTGTTGCATTGAGCAGGGGCTCGTGTTTGTTGCTATAAAGTAAAGAGACTGGGAGGACTCTGTTTCGATTGTGAGTTGTTCTCGAAAGTCCTTACCAAAGACTGTTGATCATGACTCCTCCAGAGATGATTAGTATGGCTTCAAAAGACGGCCAAGATAGTACGCCCAGGCGTCACAGTCTCAGTGACGAGTCTGACTCCAACTCAGCTGCTGATGAGAAGAGACTTGTTGCGAAGCTGGACTTCTACATCATTCCTCTTGTAATGGTACTTTACCTCTTCAGTTTCCTAGACAGGCAAGTTACACAACTCCCTCTTTCACCCAGTCCCTATGACTAACTGCAAGAGTAGGGTCAACATTGGTAATGCCCGACTTTACGGGCTCGAAGAGGATCTGAACCTCTCGTCGAGCCAGTTCCAAGTTGCCGTGTCCATCCTTTTCGTCACATACTTGCTCTTTGAGGTTCCATCCAACCTTGTCCTCAAGCTATTCACACCTCGTCGATGGATCGCGTTCATCGCTGCTGCATGGGGAATCATCGCCACCCTCACCGGCCTCGTCAACTCATATGGTGCTTTGATCGCTTGTCGTTTGCTTCTTGGTGCCGTTGAAGCAGGCCTGTTTCCTGGCTTGACGGTGTATCTCACTTTCTTCTACACCAAGAGAGAACTCGCCCTGCGTGTGGGTTATCTGTTCGTTAGCGCTGCAGTCGCTGGAGCTCTAGGTGGTCTGTTGGCATATGGCATTGGACATATGGATGGTCTCCATGGCATGAGCGGTTGGCGATGGATCATGATCATTGAAGGAATTCCCAGTTTCTTGCTTGGTGTGGTGACATACTTCGCTCTGCCTAATGATGCAGAGACAGCATACTTCCTCGACGAGAACGAAAGGGCGCTTATGCGTTCGAGACACGCCCGTGAGTACGGAAACACGGCCTCCAGTCGTGAATTCAGCAAGAAGGACATGATGTGTGCCTTTAAGGACTGGAAGGTCTGGGCGTTTTGTGTTGCGCAGTTTGGCGTCGACACTATGTTGTATGGTGAGTTTCGATATCCCTCAAACCCTGCACTCAGAACACTAATTAACAAACGTAGGGTTCTCAACCTTCCTCCCGACTATTATCAGGGATCTCGGTGACTGGACGGTTGCAGAGACACAACTCCTCACCGTACCATGTTACTTCCTCGGTGCAGCGGCGTACATGTCGACCGCATTTCTCTCAGATAAGCTTCAACAGCGTGGGCTTTTCTGCGTGATATTCGGAGTCATTAGCGTTGTTGGATATGCAGTCCTGCTGGCTGATGTGTCTTCCGGCGCCCACTACTTTGGCTGCTTCCTGGTAGCTGGAGGCTTGTATGTTGTTGTGGGCTTGCCACTGGCCTGGGTAAGTTAATATGAGCATGATGATTGATTATAGTGAGCTGACTGAGTCGTTTAGTTGCCCACAAACTCGCCGCGTTACGGAAAGCGCACTACTGGTACGGGTATGCAGTTGACTTGGGGTAATGCGGCAGGCATTATGTCTGCATTCATCTAGTAAGTTCTGATACTGACTGATAGCATGAGTTCTGCTAACCTTGACAAGTCCTACTTCGGATAAGCCTCGATACATTCGCGGGCATGCTGTGACGCTCAGCATGGTAGCTCTCGGCACTGTCATTTATGGATTTATGTGGTGGTGGTACCGACGAGAGAATGAACGACGACAGGCAGGTCTGGTGGACGACAAGTTTCGAGGAATGGGAGAGGATGAGCTGGCTGAACTTGGAGATGAGAGCCCACGTTATAGATATACCATTTAGAGGGCATCTGATGAGAGGATAATGAAAACTTGGGGTTATAACTAAGGGACGAAATCGAGATGACGGAGGATACTACCTATATGAAAGGGATATGCATAATGAGAACGGCCATTGATTACTGAGGGCAGTAGACAGAAATAACAGGTTGAATGTGGAATACGTCCTTTATAGGTATAAGCAGAGCGTCGGAGTAACTATCACCAAACATCAAGGAGAAGTAACTACCGGAACTACGGAGTAAATGGCGCTAATATCCGCTATTAGTGGCTTGACGAGCTGCATGGCTCCATCGTTGCTGGGGGAGTTTCACATGGTTTGGGAAAGCAATTTGGTGGTCAGTTGCATTTGGTATTTATCATACATATATCGTCGAACCACAGTTTTCTCTGTTAAAAGGATTGCCATGCCAGCACGTCAAGTGTCGTTGTTGGGGCTGTGTACTCTGTACGTCAGCTGTTGAATGGTTGCCATGATCCGCCCTTCAGGCAATCGGTGTCGTGTAATAATGGGGCCAACGCGTGCATATTGAATACGAGGTCTAGGCTGTGTTGAAGAATGTCGCCTGTAATATCGCCGACAGTTGAAGACACTCAAGCACGTTGTACTACTAGACTACAGATCTTGATAATTCAGTATTATTGTATTGAATAGGTAGCTTCGAAGTGTACTCATCTGTCTGTGTTTAGGTGCTGGCTTGCCCAATCTCCTGTATAAGGTATAGTACCTAGGTAGTCCGTCAGCTCTCCTGCTGTTGATACTAACGTTAGGTACCAGTCAGGGCAGAGTGAGCAGCACATGCCATCAGACTCCAGTAACGTTACCGGGCAAAGAGTAAATAATAACCAGGCCAAACATCAACACTCTCGCCACTCATGATTGATCGATCCTCCCTAGACATTCAGTCCCTATGTAAGACATTTCAGTGGAATAATGCAAATGTAGTGTACCCCAGGATCACAGTGGACATCCATTGGCACTAGCGGACCCTTGTTTCCAAATTTAGGTGCCCAAGTCATGCTCTAGCGTCGAAAAACGGAGGCTTAACAGAAGCCCGCCCATGTTTCCCCTGTTTTCTTCCATGCCTCCATTTCCACTTCCACTTCCGCTTGCTTCTGCTTCTCTTTCTTCATCCTTACCTTTTAAGTAATTCCTTCTTGGATGCTATTCACTTTCGTTACTGACCAACTCAGTCCAAAGTCTCTCGCTTGTCTTCTCTGACAGTTGGAATCTATACCACTTCTTCTATATTCTTCTATATTCGACCGCTGTCTTGGTATATCCCAGATTCCTCCACTGATCGATCGACTCAACAATCCATCTTCAACACTTAATAACTCGACATCATGCGTTTCTCCAAGCACGTCCTCCCCATCGCCATCCTCCTCACCGGCGTCATTGCGGCCAAAGACGAAGAGTCTACCACTGCCGTCGAAAAGGCCAAGGCTACCGACGACAAGGCCTCCGCGACTGCCGACGACTCCAAGACAACGGACGCGACAGAAGAGGCTTCTGCAACTGCTACGGGCAATGATGACAAGAAGGAGTCAAAGACCGGCAAGTCCGATACCAAGTCTGCCACAAAGGAGAAGTCGGCTGCTTCTCAAACCACGGCTGATGGACCTACGATTACCTGGGACCCTCCTGCTCCCAAGACCACGGTCCCTGATATCAACGCTGGTTCTCCTTCGCCCATGACTCCTGGTGTTGTTGTTCTGTCGTTGGTACTCGGCATCACATCTCTCGGAATGGCCCTGCTATAAGAGTATCTGCCATCCATCGTCCTTAGAGATCATTGCACATTTCAGCTTTTGCAATGGTTCTTCTCGGCAAGCGTTTTTTGGTTGAACGGGGTTTATTTATTTCATTTCACATGATTGTGGCGCTATACGGAATGTCAATGGCAACGGGGATGCACGATTTTTCTCTGGCCTTAATTTGGGAGACGGACGCGTATGTTTGTGGCGCTCAGATAAGCCTCATTTGTTTCGGGGGGAACGATGCGAGATTGCGAAAGGAACGAAGAAGCATATGGGAGAAAAACTATCAGGATCCGCATTCGGATCTGGAAGAGCATTGCATTGGAGTAGGAAATACTGTCGATATCAGTAATTGGGTCAAAATAAAAAGAACAATTTTCTCGACTTTTTTTTTTTTTTGATCTGCTGTCGCCGGAATGAAACCTCAGCTCCCCCGTCCACTATTCGTCTTAGAGCCAACCGTTGGTTAGCTGGGGGATTGACATGGGCTGATGCAATAGCCATATTAACCTACTACCTCTACATAAACGTGATTGTGGGGCCAGAATAAACATATCCTTATAGGTCGAGAAGCAAGCCACGAATACATGTTCAACGTCGGGCAGTATTTACCGTCCGTCTTCATTGATTTTATTGTTTATTAGGTATCATCGAGGGTCCTGGGGCCAGAGAATTGGCATTTCACTAGTACCTAATTCCCGAGTCGAAGGTACCGATGCTTCCTGACCAATCACGGCATCTACAATCGACGTCATAACCCACCCTTTGTCCGCCCAATCACTTGACCCCTCCCCCTCATTCCTCTGAGTACAGCTCTCCAATCGCCCGGTTCCAGCGCCTGTTGTGCCTGTTATGTAGGGGGGCTTTCAGTAGGTTCACGGCGCACCGTGCCTTATAGGCTGTGCTAACTTCCTTAACTTAACTGGACGTGGGAAGTCGCAATGCATGTCTTGCATTCATTCCTCCCGTCTTGCTCAGCCCAACCCAACCAACACAACGAAGCTGAACTTGCGAGAATACACTTTTTCCCACTCTCAATTCCCCACGCCCTTTTCTCTTTCTTACAACAATCACCGATAATCCAGCGGAATCAAGCCTTCACCAAAGATAGTGTCACGCGATCGTCTTCATCGTATCCTCCGCCTGACATCAACAGGCGCCCAACTTCCTGAGCGCCGTTGACGGCGAAATCTTCAATACCTGACGTCGCCTCATATCATCGCATCCACGTCCACTTCTGCGAACACCCGACTCGAAGCTCCTGTGCAAAAGACAATACCCATTGCGTTTCAATCGGACATCCTCTCAAACGAACGAAACGAACTATCGTCATCATGGCGCAGACGCAGCACCCGACCTTCATCAACCTCCCACCTCCCACCTCTAGACCAGAGACCCCCTCTGAGATGCCGTGTGTTCTTCCTCGCTCCTAGCATTGCCTATCATTTGATGTGATGCCTCTGCCCCCTGAAACTTATTCACTGACATCGTTGCCCGTCTCAGAGGCACTCCTACGAGCACCACTACCTCGCTTTCCGCCCTATCTACCACTGCTATCAAAGATGGCCATCGCGGCCACTTCCCACAGGGTCCTCTCAGTCGCGGACACCAACATAACCCTTCCACCCAAAGCCTCGAGGCTGAACGTGCCGACCGAATTTCCCGACTTGCTGGTCTCGAGCGAGTGTCAACCCTTCGGGCACCTCCTCAAGCGAACGCCCAAGGAGCATCATCTCCCTCACCTCAGACCACTCCAACCTCTACAACTGGGTTTCCGCCCAACTACCCTGCTACGCAGCGCCTGACACCTGCATATTTCGACAGCAATGGCCAGCCTGTCGCTGTGACCAAGATGAGCACTGTTGGAACGGCCAGCGCAACTGAGAGCCATGTTGGCGATGGTGATGATACGCGCACAAATGCTGGCGAACATGATGAAGACATGTTTAGCACCGATACCAACTACCGTGAAGCCGAGTCAGTCGCAAGCATGGGTGGCTATCCCGACGCTATGGACGAGGATCTCGATGGTGCCAATGCTCGTTCTGTGGCTGGTTATGACGATCGCATGAGCGATGACGGCTCTGCCTCTCTTGTTGGGTTTGGTGAGGGTGCTGGCAGTACCGTATCCGGGCCCATTTATCATCGTCGAGCGGCACCCCAAGCTTGGGGTCTTGAAAGAACCAATTCCGGTCTGAGCGACGCCCGGCGGGAGCGTGACACTCATATGGGTGGCGACACGCCTGTAAGTGTGTCTGCCCTACAGGAGCGCCGGGAGGCTCGTATGATGGACGGTGTCGCGACTGATCCAAATCCAGGCCAAGCACCAGAGAACGACTCCTTTGTTGACACAACCTTCCTAGGCCCTGTCTCTGTGTCGCAGCCTCAATCACAAACTGCTGCTGCTGCTCAGGAGGCGGCGGAGCGTATTGTCCAGAGGTTGGACAGAGGTGAGACAAGGGCGCCTGCTTCGGGTCTTGTAGGCCCTGGACGGGGTGATGAGCCTTTGGGCAAGTTCTACTTTGAAGGCGAGAAGCGTGGTGATTAGAGCCGTTGTTACATCAGAAAAGAAACCCCAGTTGAGCCTTCATCTGCAAGGGTGTTGATGACTCCGTGGCTGGGTTGAAGGGCGATGCCAGGCACGACGAGCTTGACGGATATGGTCGTATTTCTCATGCTGTGCTTGTCCTCGGAAGGAGTTTCTATGTTTTAGATTATATGTGCACGCATCGCTGTTCCGCCAGTTTCGTTCACATGTCGATATCTCGTTGGGGCCTCCCATCTTGAAATGAGCTCAAGGGCAGTTTGTAATAATGGCCTTTTACGCTGTACAAACACATCCTTTTCAGCCATTGACTTTAGTACCTATGTACAGAGTTTTTTTCTTTTTCTTTTCTTCCGCAAATATGTCACGATGCAATCGGGGATTGATCAGACGTTGAATGGTCTTCGAACGTTGCCGAGGTCAGTTTAGATCCTGGCACGTTGCTTGATGTTATTGTGCTCAAAGCCAAAGCATGCTGTATTATCAGCATGCCCGTTGTACCTGGTCTCTGTAAATATGACGCCGCTATCTATTCGCCTCAAACTGTGTGACCATGCTCCGTGCACTTCATTTGGCAAATATCATGAAACTAAGACAGCGAGAAAAATTGGCATCGGCCATGGCTTTCATCACTCTCTGCCTCAAAAATCATCGCTCATTCTGTAAGTGCATCTGGCCAGAGATAAACGCCAGTCCCA